CTCAGCTCGCCGGCTCGCTTGCCCCCCGATTTGGATGGACCCCACGTCGAAGTGGATTTTCCCCACGTGGGGGTTGACAGTCTTCCCTTCGGCCCCCACATGACTATGGGTAACTTTCCCCATTCAATGGGAAATATAATCTTTTTGGTGGTTTCCCCTGCTGGTCATCCCACGTAAAGGAGCTTTTAATCAACCCTACATTTTACCCAGGACTCCCTGTTAAACTTGGCAAAAAGGTACCCTCCCTTACCAAATGTGTCTCAAATACCTCATTGGATGGCTTTACCAGAAAATGATTCTCGCAGAATTCCTTCCAGATGTCCCTCTCAAACACCTCTTTGGACACTTTCACCAGGAAAATGATCTCTCCAAAAGGATGGGTTTATCAGGAAATGCCTTGTTTGGATGATTTTACTAGGAAATGTCTCTCTTGAAATTCCTTTGGATGGTTTTACAAGGAAATGTCTCTTTCAAAGTACCTGTTTCGGAGGGTTCACCAAAAATACCTCCTTGGATAGTTGTTTGAGGAAATGTCTCTCTAAAAATGCCAGTGTCGATGGTTTTACTAGGAAATGTCTCTCTCAAACTTCGTGGTTGGATCGTTTTGACAGGAAACCCAAAAGGAAAACGCGAACCCTTCCGTAGGGGTCTCCGATATTGAGGCAAAACGTATCTTGTCTGTTGTGTCCTTCTTGTTGGCTGCTGGTTGTTAGTTGTTGGTGAGAAACGCTGAAAGCAATCCCAAAGACCCCGACTTTGCCCGAAGAAACATGAAGACGTGGTCAAAACAAAGAAACATGACGACGACGACATCTTGTTGCCACGGGGCTTTTCAAAATGGTCGTCCCGAACCCCGGTGGGGCAAATTTCACTGGTTGGCCCCCTGTGGTATCATTGACGGACCTCAAAGATCCGACCATTCTTGAGCAAATTCCCTCAGAGTCATCGCGTGCTACCAAGGGCACAGTCTAAGGCGCCTCCCTCAATGGGGGTGAGCTGGAATCCCACCTGATACCCTCCAGTCAGGCCGGTCATTGCGCTGCACCGGTGGCACCGGGAAGAAGAAACCAAGGTTTGTACAGAGTTGGGAAAAAATGCAAATCCCTCTTTGGATTTCTGGATTTCCGTTTGGAAACTGACAAATGCTGTGCTATTGATCGCCAGGATGCTAAATGTGCCCCGGCCAAAACGGCTGCAGACAACGAAGACAAGCCAGAGATTGAGCCCCAAAGCCCCTGGACTTTTGGTTGTACTTGCAATCCAATAGTAAAACCAGCTTCCAAAATGGCCATTATTTAGGGACGATGTGCGCTTTCTTAAAGGGAAGCTAGGAGGAAACCAACTAGCTTTGGGTGAATCCCTACTTTGGACACCCCCCATGTAGAAACTAAAGTTGTAAAATCGTGGTGGCCAAATATAGTGATAGCCGGGAGCCTCGCTCAAGGTCCAGCCTTGGGCCCAATCCACGTCTCCCGTATGCCATTACAGTTTTCTGTATCCCAAGGGTCAACGCACATGGCACTTGGCGGCCTATCTTTGAACTCGGTCTGATTCGTGACCGGGAAATCCCAAAGGCGCCACAGTACCTCGCTTCAAATTGGATCCCTTGGTATCCAGCGCTTCCAGCTCTACTTGAAGGAATTCGGGTGTGATCGCAAAATGAGTAGTGATCCTACCTTTGAGGATTTACAGGGGGGTTACTCGAAGGTTCCTGACCACCTAGCCAACTGGATCATCAAAGTATAGGTCAGGGAAGACACCTGAAAATCGGGGGAAAACCAACTGGCGAAAGGCTTGCTGAGAACGGAATCAAGCACAAGCCCGCTTTAAGATGGCTCAAGTACTTTCCGACAAAGTACGCGTTTACCCTGTTTAAGTTTGACCCCTTTAAAAGAACCAAGAAAAATCAAGGCAAAAAACAAGTCCAAGGGGCAAAAAGTTGAGCTGGGCTCTTCCCCCACCCTCTGGGCAACTTGGGTGTCCAGAAAGCAACAGGACTGCGGGTTCTGGGACTCTCCCGCCTGGAAGCTGCCCTCTGCCGGGGTCACCGGCACATCCCTGAGCCGCCACACCGGAAGCCTCGAGCTTCATGAGGGCGGGATTTTCCCCCACACCGTTTCCTCGTCTTGGGGCTTGGCTCACCAGGGACCCGGAGTGGCCAATCCTTGAAGAACTTCATGCTGTGGGTCAAAAATAGGTACCCAACCATGGAACCTTGGTAAGAAACATGGACTAAAATCTGCGGTCCCCTTGTGGTTTAATTTGGACCCACACCCATATGTGCGGCCGGCCAAGCTCCGCACACCTCCTCCTGGGCAGGCCGAAGCGCCATCTGATTCATCCCGCGAGCGGCATCGCGGCGCTGTGCGGCGAGATGGCTCCACATAGGACCCAATTTGGGGGGCTTGAAATGGAAAAGCCAAAAGTAAACCAACCATGTTGGCAAGTCCGAGAGTGTCTCAAAATCACAAATGGATCCCTTGAATAACACCCGAAAAGCAAAAGCTGTCGCATGAATCTTTAAAAACCGCAATGCTTGAATCCCCTTGTCAGGTTCTGAAAATGGAGGCTTCGACATCCAATCCTCCAAAAATCCGGCGAAACCACGCCTCCGTGTCTGGCAACAGTGCCTTGATTTTTCTGAACAGGCTCTGGACCTCTTGCATGCCTCCCCAGCTGCCTTGACCCCCGTAAAGAATGTGGATTCCCTTGGAGCAGGCTTTGAGCAAGCCCCGCAAATTGACCAAACCCCGAACAACAACTTGAAGATTATGAGACTTACACGAAACATGATTTATTCGAGGAACTTAAATTGGCAGGGGGATTGCACAGGTGAGTTCCATGTTTATGTGGTGGGGAGGGTATACTAAGGGGATTCCCTTGGTACAGACATCGCACCCAACGTTCCACCAGTGGATTCATTTCGGACGAAGCCCGCGGGCAACCAGGCAAGGCATTTTGCTTGGGAAGGCCCAAGCCCCCAGCGGATTTCCACTGGAAAAGTCTCTCTCTCTCTCTCTCTCAGCTGATCAGGGAGCGGAAAAGGCCATGTTTCAAATGGTTGCAAAATGTATCTTTTAAGGAGCCCTGCTGATTTTGAAGGGAAAACAATGAGCCCAGGTGCCAACAGCTCAGGACCCTTCCTACCCGAAACCGTCCAACGCCTCGCTGGTCCGCACCGTCGCTACCGTCCCTGACAAACGAGCTCGGAAAACATCCGTGTCTGTGCGACAGGCACAGAAGGTGTTTAATACGCCAACCTGAAATCTTCACCAAGAAAGGTGATCAAAGTCCGGGAACATGTACCAAGGTGATCGAAGTCCTTTTCATCAGTCACTTTTACTTACTGGCTTTGGATGTTCAAAGTCCGTAAGTTAAATGAGTCGCCAGCCTGAAATAGGACGGCGAGGTCACCGTTGCGAATGCCAAACACCGGAGATTCGCAAAAAAGGCCCAGCCAAATGCGCTCACAAAATGACGCGCAAACCACTCTCAAGGGTTGCATCTTGTTCCAAGAGAGTAAGTCGTTCATTTGCGTACCCTTCACCTACTACTAGCAGCTTACTAACAAGTTCCACGTGGACAGCTGGTGTTCAGACATCTCTTCTCTGAGCAACCCGATCTAAGTTGGTAATTAGGACTCTCTTTTGCTAAATGGGGACATACAAGAATCACGCACCGCCAATTCGTTTGCCATGCCTGTTCGGCATGTTACAAGAGTGGCCAAAACACGGGAAATGGTGCTTGCTCTCATGATGTTGGACAGGGCAAACAAGCTCCTGCTGCGAACTCAGCGAGATCTATCTTTGTCATTCTCACGGGTCACGCCTACGGCTTGCTTTGAAGTCATCGAAACAAAAATAATCATGGTTCATCCTTCGTGGCCAGCCCGAGACAAAAGCCATGGGAGTTCCCGCGAGAAGAAACGGATCCACAAATTTACATTTCAACCTATGGTCCCAAACCATCGAGTCGATCGCTCAAGTTTGCACCGCGAAATTAAATCAGATGCAAAGAATTCGCACGAATGCACACGGAGCAATGGTCCAATTTTCGCTTCAGAACCATTCTGACTCTCGGTGCTTTTGACCCCACACTTGGGCATCCAACCTTTCACGACATGTGGAGAGGTCTGAATCATCACGATGTTGCCTTTGGGGAAAAAAAAAACAAACATGTTTTGCGCATAACAAACCCCAGACCATTTTAGCTTCCATTTCATCTAAGGGGCTGACTACTTGTGCTCATGATCTTATGTTCATGCCCACGGTTGGTTTTAAAGCTCCCCAACACCACATTCAAAGCAGTCCACACCATCCAAAGGAAACTTTGGCCAGAGTCTTGAGGCTCGCGCCGGACTCCGCCATCATGCCATGGTGCAAAGCGCAGGCTCCAAATGGACCTTTTTCCACTGGCTGCAGTGTTGGCTGCCTTCATACTGCTAGACTTCTGGTGGCATGTTCGGCGGGATTTTCTGGAGTTTTTCTGGGATCCCGGTCTTAGGACACACCCGACAGGAACAAGCACACGGAGTTTCTGAAAGTCAACGTTGACTGAGCCCAGGTGCCTCAAAATGGGGGTTCCCTCGTTCTGCCGTTCAAAAGAATACGTGTTTCTTGCGGTTGCTGTCCTTTCTCGCTGAAAGTGAGCCCGACTGCACCGCGGGCTTAAGTCCCATAGCATGACTTGAGGATTGCTACCTTTTATTGGGCATGCAGCCCAGGCGACAAAGTCCAAGGAAGACAAGGCTATTTTTTTCGACCAAGCGAAAACTAGACGTCTCCTTTCTTTTCGGCCCCTAAGGGAACATCTTTTGGATCAAGTTGAAGCTCCTGGGCCCCCTCCCTCCTTTGCACCTTGCAGCCACTGTTGTTAACAACGGTCCATCATGCAACTACCACCACCCAGAGGCTGCAACAGGTGAGTTGCATGAGATGGGAAAAGCAACCAAATGTTGAGATCCCGTGAAATGTGGCATCATAAAGCATTACCGCACAGTC